ACGAACACACTTACAAAGTTTGAGTTTTATATATATGCTAGTGCTTCACCTCTGTCTTGCAGAGGCTCGCACTGGTTCCTTTATCTACACAGGTTCCTCTTGCTTGCATGACATTGGCACTTGAACTCACCGTGCAATGCCGACCATCTTCAACTATTTGTAAACAACAACTCTGTAAACAACTACGCATCCCATGAGCATTTCCTCGTAGAAACGATTGTGAAGGTGATAAGAAAGATTCTTGTATAGTAGATTAAAAGAGAATTTCGTTTAGTTACTTAAGCCGCTATGGTTGGATAGCTTTCAGAAAGGACAGTCACTTCCGTCACCCACATCTCTGAGCAAAAATCTTCACAAATAATTGAGCGAAACCGTGACAAATTGACGATCTATTAGGTTGTCCGGAAATTAATGCCCGTTTTAAATTCCAACCGCGCTAAGTCATATACTTCTCAACTCTAAATGGGTTGCAAAGTACCATTCGATAGAGCAAAGCAAGCTCTACAAGATGGCCATCTTGCTTTTGCAACAGCTTTGATCCATCTCGAGTTTCGAGCCAAAAACTAAAAAGACTCACCAGTCCGAAAAATCGAAAAAAAATCGTAACTCAGTTCATAAAAATCCTACAAAAATTCTAATTTGCTCGCGTAAACACTATCCACATAAGACATCTATATACGCCGTTGCCGTATTTTTTTCTCTGTTAGAAACCAAGAAAACGGAAATTTTCGTGCAATTGCCAAAGTGATGCTGTGCCGTCCCCGCATAGGTAGTTGTATACCACAAGTCTGTAGAAGTACAGACTTAAATTTCCAGCTCTCTACAAGCTTTAGTTCTCAAAAAATACTGAATATAGCTTTCCTTACTTAAGTGGTCCAAGCTAAAATTCAAATTTCTCGAGAACTAAAGCTTGTAGAGAGCTGAACATTTAAGTCTGTACTTTTTCAGGCTTGTGGTATACAACTACCTATGTGGGGACGGCACAGCATCACTTTGGCAAATGCACGAAAATTTCCGTTTTCTTGGTTTCTAACAGAGAAAAAAATACGGCAACGGCGTATATAGATGTCTTATGTGGATAGTGTTTACGCGAGCAAATTAGAATTTTTGTAGAATCTTTATGAAATGAGTTACGATTTTTTTCGATTTTTCGGGCTGCTGAGTCTTTTTAGTTTTTGGCTCGAAACTCGAGATGGATCAAAGCTGTTGCAAAAGCAAGATGGCCATCTTGTAGAGCTTGCTTTGCTCTATCGAATGGTACTTTGCTATCTATTTAGAAGTGAAGAGTGTATGACTTTTTGCGGTTGAAATTCAAAACGGGCATTAATTTCCGGACAACCTAATACGTAATTGTTCCTTTTTGGCGCTGATTTGGGTAAACATGGACATTCTGCCCACTTTTCAGGCTTAAATCAGTAATATGCGAGTTTACTTGTCAGGCAAATTCACAATTTTGCCAAAGGTACAATTACGAGGCTCAAATCCAAAGTATGCGCATTTACTTGCCAAGCAAATCCACAACTTTTCTAAAGGTACTAGGTTGACCCATAAATCCTTTCATTTTTGAGTTTTCGCTGTAATAAGTCAGACAGTCAGACCCTTTTTATTTTGAGTAGACATCAGGATAGCATTCGATAAAACAAAGCAAGTTTTATAAGATGGCGTTTATGCTTTTGCACAAGCTTCGGCCCATTTCAAGTTTTAAACCAAAACCTAAAAAGTTTCGGATGCCCAAAAAATTAATTTTTTTTATATCTTTGTTCAAAAAAATCCTACAGATCTCTCACTCGCTCACGCATATACATTTCACATCAGAAATTCATATGTGCTGTTGCTGTGTTTTATTATTAGCTAGAAATCAAGAAAACGAAAACTTCCATGTTTTTACCAAAGTGATACTGGGCTATTCTTACACTAACAGTTGTGTATTACAAACCTCTCAAGGTACAATCGTAAATTTTTAGCTTTCTATAACCTTTGATTTCCTAAAAATGTTGAGCGTGAGAAACCCGAGTGAAGAAGGCTAAATTCGATATTTCTCGTGAACAGAGCATGTAGAGAGCCAAAAATCTACGATAGTATTTCTAAAAGCTTCTAGTATACAACTGTTGGTGTAGAAACAGCACACCATCACTTTGGTGAAAACATGGAATTTTTCGGTTTTTTGATTTTTAGCTGATGAAGAAATACACAACAGCACAATTTTTCTCTTTTTTAGATATTTCGAACTTTCTTATTTTTGGCTCCATACTTCGCATGGATCAAAGTTGGTGCAAGTATTCGAATATTAGGCTGTTTTTGACTTTTACTGCAAATGTATAGATTTCTTACTTTTGATTAGGATAGAGGGACACATTTCGACAGAGCAAAGCGAGCTTCGTAAAATAGATTGTAGGCGTTTGCACCAGCTCCAGTGCACCACGAGTTAAGGCAAAATCCAAAATGTTCCTAATGCCAGAAAAATTTAAAAAATTTATATCTTTGTTCAAAAATTCTTATCGGATCTTCTGCTATCGCACGAATCACCACACCGTAGACTCACTTATGCCGCACTATATTTCTCTGCCCTAGAACCCAATAAAGAAAATTTTTCTGTTTTACTAACGCGATGCTGTGCTGTTCACGCACAAGTAGATGTATACTACCAGTCTTCAAAAGGTACAATTGCAAATTCTAACTCTCCGACAAGTTTTAGTTTCCAAAATATTGATGGCATTGTAAACCTGGAAGACCAATGCAAAAAAAAGCTAAATTTGAAACTTCACGAAAAAATATTGCAGGAAGCCGAAACTTCAGCCTCTATGTGTAAATGATTGTAACATCCATTTACTGTTGCAATACAACACAGATCACTTTGGCAAAGATTTCGGCTTGAGGTGTAAGGAAGGTGGTGAGAACGCTTACAGGAGATCTCATAGACTTGTTTTGCTCTATCAGACGGTATTGTAGATCCTAGAGTTAAGAAATGTACGAGTCAGTCAGGCCAAAACTTTTGCGACGTCTAGAAGGTCGGACATATTTTACGCGACTGCATCGCCTCGCCATTCTCTCAAGCAAGATAACGGTTACCAATTCACTGCATGCCGTACCTCTTGCATTTCGGTTGTGTTAGATTTCCGATACAACTGACCGAGATTAACTATCACAAACGAGATGCAAGATGCTCAGCATGCCGTGAAATGGTAACAGCAGTCTTGTTGGGAGAATCGCGAGACGATGAAATCGCGTGAGATGTGTCCGGCCCTCGTTACAATCTTGTAGAGCATTTTGACCTATCAAATGATACCTCAAATCCATGTTGGAGGCATAATCTAATTTTGGTGTAAGATTATACTCCACCTGATATGCGCTGTTTAATCATTGCTACCTTTTCTAACAGTTTCTGCTAACCAATGAATACAGTTTTATAGAGTTCAGTTTTCAAACAAGGCTAACAAGAACGTTGCAGTCAGCCTCAATGAGGAAGCCATAAAGTTTTCGCGTGCAAAACATTTAAAAGGAAAGGGATGGGAATGACACGAAGAATATACTCCGATGTACGGGTGCGCATTCTACAGTTCTGAGGTGAGAAAGTTGTTTCGTGCAGGAAAATCTCCAAAGTAAACCATTGAAATGGTGAATATAGTTGATCTTCATGACGTCTCCATAATATCAAAAGGATCGAGTAGTGTGATGACGCCACTAATTGATGTAATCATACTTCGTCCTGTCGAGCTTCCTCCTGTCGCGTCTAAAGCTAGACGACACTGCATCTTCGTTGTAGAGCTCGCCTTTCGCCGGCTGCTTGGCGATATCGCAACGATAAGTTAACATCGTAGATCTACGGACGTCTGATCATTAAAGTCCTACACTGCAGTCAAACAACAGAGCATTTTTTTCTCTTTGCAAAACAAAGTAAAGTTTCATTCGCTCTACGTGATGTTTTCCGGCGTTTAAAAGCCTATGCACTCTCTATGCAATCATTTTTTCAATCTTCGAACAGGATAAAACGTAAGCTAGCATATAGAAACTTTGAAAGCGAAATCCCCTCAAAGCCGCAAAGCACCTAAAAAGTTCTCTGCAATCACGAGAAGTCTGCTTGCAGTAGCCGAATTCCCACAGAAACATTTCCTTGGCTTTTTTGAGCTCGTATGTTGTGCAGAAATTGCAAGTTTTGCTTTGATCCACGAACACGGAGAAAATGATTATAGACCCCGCAAGACCCATCGAATTTTACCTAACTGCATACTCTGAAACAAATAGGCGTGCTCTCAAAACCTCTTTCTCTATATGTGCTTCACTTTTTAAGCTTTGGGCTGAAGAGCTCGAAGTTGGCACAGGGGAGGCCAATAAGTGAGCATAATGATAACGATTGCAAATTCATTTTCGTTGATATTATTAACTCTTACAACAAAAAGAGGCGCCGGGAGTTGACATAAGTGTTATGCGAGCACGTTTTTACGAATTGGTAAGAGCATGTTGATCACAAATAGGGCAATCGTTTTGATAATTATACGTTCCTTTATTGATTTCATCGATTTTGGCGCACTCCAAGCTTGAGCGGTGGCGTTGCGGCGGCTTCGTTCAAAGAATCCATTGTCATTGCTTTGTCTTTGCTTTCCGAGATTGATAGAGCGAGAGATAGAGAATGAGGAGCTAATACGTTGTTTATAGAAACATGAAGGGCAGGGAAATGACGCATAGGAAACAGGTACAAGTGCCGCCTGATCTTTCCATCCTGAGCGGTAGCTCCCCTCGTCCGCACCTTCAGCCCGTCGCCACCGCCTTCCTTCTCGCCTCCAGCAGATCCCTCTGCCTCCGTCGGACCTCCCCTGCCCCCGTCAGACTCTCCTCTTCGGACCCCTACATCTGCTCGACTCCGGTGTCACTAATTGGCCCGGTCTTGTCCTTATCGGCAAGTTCACGTCTGCTAAGGCTGCCGATTCCACTTGATCGTCTTGACCCCCCCCCCCGCCTGCTGCCAGTGGCGACTTCACCACGGTTTTTTTTCTTCCCGTGCAATGCCCGCCAGGAGAAGCAAGAACGACGACCCCGCGCCTGCCTCCCCACCTGCTTGGCTGAAGGAAATCCTGCAACGATGGGACGATTATTTCACGAGGTTTGATAGGATTTTCGAACTTGTTTTGAAAATGCAAGAAACTCAACAAGTTCTTTGTAATTTTTTACGGGATTTGAATGCTCGCGTCTCTGCATTAGGCGAAAGGACTTTCAATGATGCCGCGTACAGTGCCCTAGTGAAGTTTCAGCGGATAGCAGGGTAGTGAATGAGAAAGCCCGCAGGATCACTTGGGTGAGCATTGACGAAAAGGAATCAGATTACGCGACCCAGGCTTTCGATCGTGAAGCGATCAAGGAGGTTATTGAAGCTTTTGGAGACGAGGAACTACTACGTGAATGGAACAACAAGAAGATTGATGTTCGACGAAAATACGCCCGAAGAAAAGCATGAGACCCAGGATAATTAAGATAACCACCAGTAGCCCGCAAGTTAGGGATAACTTGCTAGATCACATGAGGAGAGCCAGACTTTCCCTCACCAAAGGATTTGTCCACTCGTATGCCCGGAAAGATTACACGCAGGAAGAACTGGAAATCGATCGGGACCTTAGGAAGAAGGCTGGGCAACTCAATCGTCAGGAAGGAAGGCTTGCATATGTCGTGAGGGATCTACGTATTCATAAACTAAAAACACCACGCGATCTCCCAACTGATAATCCTATCAACGGCGGTCCTAGTCAAAGAAATATGGAAGACAACAATGCTTACAGCCCTCGCCCTTCACTGTCAGATGGCCAATGGATCGATAGTCGCTAGGATGCAGTGGTGATGAGTACCTTAACGGTACAGAAAACTTTTTCACATCCTAATTCAAGCTTTCTTTTGTTCAATTCGTGTTCCATTTGTAACAAAATATCTGAACTTGAATTTTTTCTTGGTAGTCGGCCCCTTGGTGTTTTCATAACTGAGACGTGGTGTAAGCCGCATCTCATTCATGATGCTGCCCTTAGTAATAGAGGGAATTATTCCGTTTACCGTTGTGATAGGGAAGGCCACCGCCCAAATGGAGGGGTAGCTGCACTTTATTCGGCAAATGTGAAACATTCACTTATAGATGCAAGGAACTTCAGTGAATTTTGTCAATGTCTTATTACGCAAATAGTATTTCAGAGACAAGATGTTTATTTCATTCTTGTTTACCGTAGCCCCTCATGCAGTTTAGTTGCATTCACGGATCTACTTCAGTTCCTCGATAACTTTCTGAATGAGCAAAGTTGTGACCTTATCCTTATGGGAGACTTTAACCTTCCTCTTATTGACTGGGACAACATGAGTATTAGGGACGTAGGGTCAGCTTCATCTGCCAGGTTCCTTGAATTTTGTCTGTCACATGGTTTTTCACAGCTCGTCACTGCTCCCACCCATGGATTGAATATCCTTGATCTGATTTTAGTCAATAACACATCCTTGATTTATGACGTCTGTCTGTTGCCGCCATTTAGTACCTCGGACCATAGTGTAGTTAGCTTCAAAGTTGTTGAAAACGTTCTTGAAAGCCAGGATGACATAGTCACATTTGATTTTAACAGAGCAAATTACAACGAAATAATTAGAGAGCTAAACTCTTTTGAATGGCGTAACATCTTACTTGGATGTGAATGTCCAAACGAATGTTACTCACGTTTTATTGATATTTGTTGGCAACTCATTGAAAAGTTTGTACCATTAAGAAGAAAATGTGGTTACGCTGAACTAGTGCCTAGAAAGTTACACAAATTGAGTGCAAAAGTAGCATATTTTTACCGACATCGGTTCTTCTCAGGTTCACATACTTCTTTAGCCAGAAAATTGAAGCGAGAAATTTCGCGATGGAAACTCGCATGCGAGAGGAAGGTGATTCGCTCAAAAAGCAGTAAGGAATTCTATAGGCACTGCAAAAGAAAATTTAAAATGACCGATTGCATACCTGATTTAAAAGAAAACGAGCATATCTACAGAAGTGACCAGCAAAAAGCCAATTTATTCGCTGACTATTTTGAAAATGTCTACCTTTGTCATACTCCTACTCCTACTAGTGCCTTTTTGGATTGTAGAACATATAACAAGCTTGATTGGATTGCAATTACAACAGACTGTGTTTACCGAGAACTTCATCGGCTTCCAAAAAGAAATTCGACGTCCCCTGATGGCATACCATACATATTTTTAAAGAATGTCGCTCTAGGACTTGCTTTCCCCCTTGCAATAATGTTCAACAGATTTTTATTGAAAGGAGAAGTTCCTGAAATTTGGAAGTTTGGTCTAGTTAAACCTATCTACAAAAAGGGGCTTAGAGCAACTGTTAACAATTATCGTCCTATCTGCCTCACATGTTCCACATGTAAAGTAATGGAGAGATTGATTTGCCAGGGTATTTTTGGGTACCTTTCTCAAAACAATCTTTTGTCTACGGTGCAAAATGGCTTCCTTAGATATACACTGTTAATGATGCCCCCTGCTGCAAAAGATCTACCGTATCTGCTCTTATGTCCACGGTCCCCTTGTGGCATAGAGAAGTGGACAGAGGCAAATATGTTTCGGTCTGTTTCGTTGACTTTAGTAAAGCTTTTGATTCAATCAACATAACTTTGCTGCTTCTCAAGCTTGAAGCATATGGCATAAAGGGGTCACTTTACAATTTTTTATCATCTTTCCCAAATGGTCGGCGACAGTCTGTAGTCATCAACAACGTTCGTTCACGTGTGTATGCTACAACTAGTGGCGTGCCTCAAAGATCTGTTCTTGGCCCTCTCTTATTCTTAATCTATATAAATGATCTCCCGGACGCACTTCCTGCAGGTACATTTTGTTCGATATATGCAGACGACTCTAAGATATACACTGTTAATGATGCCCCCCTGCTGCAAAACGCCATAAATTCCCTTGCCGCTTGGTCTGCAGCCTGGGGACTTAAAATTTCAAAAAAAAAAAAGACCTCTATAATGGGCTTCGGGAGAACCCACCCCGAATGTGAATTCACACTTGACGGCTCTGCTCTGCACCGCGTTCAAGTAATTCGGGACTTAGGCGTTCGATATTCAAGCACATTTGATTTTCGTGATTACATATTCGAGATCACAGCAAAGGCAAAGTGTCAGTCGAACTACCTCCTTAAATCTTTCCAAAGCCGAGATCCTTTGCTTTTGTTCCGGCTATTTTCTATGTACGTTAGACCACTTCTTGAGTATTGTTCACCACTTTGGTCACCCCAATGCAGGGCCTTCATAGAAGAAATAGAAAAAAGTTCAAAAATCATTTACATATAGAATTTTTGCTCGGAAGGGCATGTTTGGATTATCATATCTTGCCAGGCTAAAGAAACTTCAAGCGCTTACTTTAGAAGATAGGAGATTTCTTGCCGACTTCACCTTTATGTACAAGCTTACAACAAATGAGCTTGACCTTGATTTGTACGATATTTTCGAGCCAACATATTGTGCAAACTACACGAGGGGTCACGGTTTCAAGATTCGCATTGAAAAACCTAATCTTGCATCGTATAAGCAATGCTTCATCTGCCGTGTGCAGATGCTCTGGAATGCCTTAGATCCTCAACTGTTCAGGTATTCATCATCTACTGCTTTCTGCCGTCATTTCATAGAATATCCGAGATCGCGTAATCTGATGATCTCATCGTAGAAAAAAAATGTGAAATGTTCTTGTCGTTCTACAAGTTATCTGTTTTTCTGTTCTCCGTTGTTATACTTTACATCCATTGTTGTATTAGTTTTATCTCATGTTTGGATGTTTTTTTTCTGCTCAGTCTATTCAGTTCAAAAAAAGATATTACTTGCTTGAAAGATTGTTTGACTGAAATAAATGAAATGAAATGAAATGAAAGTGTTTAAGAGTCGGACAGAATGTTGAGTTCCATGAATTTTACCATGTATTGCCGAGAAGGAACCAAACGGGCCAAATATGCCACCGTCTTCTGTGAAATCACACCATTATGTGGAGACCAATAAATGACGTCTTGTATAAATTCTTCTAGAAATTGCTTCCTAGAGTTGTTCAAACAACTTGAATCGAAATAAATGTTCAGAACCAACAAAATGAAAAAATGAATGACATAAGGGAAATATGTAGTGGTGAATTGTTCGTTCCTTTGCATCCGTGGGCGATTAATTTTCTTTGTCAAAATCACTTTTCATCGAAAGACACATGGAACCAACAAGGGAAGGATACTAATTTAGATTCGACTTTCAAGATGAAACACAATATATAATATTTGAAATTACCTTTGAAGGCCGATTCCAAATGTGCTGTTCCTAGCTGCTTTGCATCATCCTGAAGCGAGTTATGGTCTCTTTTCTATGCAAAGTTTGCGTGCTTCTCGACCTATTGCTATGGTGTAGGTGGTTTTGCAATTGTATAATGCTCCATTTCAAAATCAGAAGAATTAATCTGATGCTAGTTTGACATCCTAGCATTTTTTTCGAGCACATTCTTATCTACACGCCGTCTTACAACGTTCAGAAGTTTGTTAATTACTCACGAATGCAAGCCCATCACTCGCTTCGGAATGACGCTAAGCAGCTAGGAATGGCATGATTGGAATCACCGTTCAGAGCTTATTCCAAATGTATGTTTAGCATCTCAAAAGGCGAATCTTACTTAGTATCCTTCCCTTGTAAGGAAGAGTTATTTCACACTTTTCAGAGAACGCTTTTTTTTGGTTTAACTTTGTTGCGCTGCAGATTTGTTCAAGAATTTGGTTATTCAATTGTTAACATGATGAAATCGCCTGGTACAATATATTGAACTTTATTTGATGAAACAATTGCTTAGATCTGTCCCGGCTTATTAGCGAATTACTTAACTGATTAGTGCAACAAATTATGACTCGATTGAGAACACTACTTATAAGCTTACAGAATACAGTAAATTTGATTTCTGATTTAAACTTCAGCATTCACTTATGCGCTCAATGCTACAGAAGCCTCTATTGCGTCTCAGTAAGCGTGCGAATGCGGATGAGTGCTCATTAACGAGCGCGAAATAACTTCTATTCAAAACCGACCGCTCGCCTTACCAAAACGTTAGCCTTTTAGAGATTAAGGCACAATGTACAGACTTTTAAAAACGTCTGATTTATGAGGAATAAACTTCATAAATTCTGAAAGAATGAGAGTGATTAAGCAATCACATTTACCAAAATCACATCTGTGGCCTTCATCTGTCATAACAACTGGCAGAGTTTCTTCAATCGTTATTGTTGTCTTTCCAAACGAAGTTTCATCACTTCAATCAAGATTTTCCTATAGGTGCTAAAGGAGAACAACAAGTCGTTTCTTCTTCTAATGTATCACAGAGTTTTGTATACATTACTAAGCAAATCGTAATTTCATTTTCAGTTGTAAAACCTTAACTTTTTTTTATCTATTCAAGCAGTATTTTCGAACCTGAAAAAAC